AAGCAGATGTTGATAAAGCAAAAAAAGATGCAGCGGATGCAGGAACAAAATTAGAAAGTGATATTGTTCAAGTAGCAACAGACTTAAGTACAGTAAAAGGAAATGTAGATAAGTTAGTTACTGCAATTGGTGCTGCACAAAAAGTAGTTAATGGAATTACTAGTAACGCTGATACAGCAGATAAACTTAAGGAAGCCAAAGGAAAACTTAACATTGCTGCAGATGATGCAACAGAAGCTCAGACTCAATTAAAAAAAGTGGATATTGATGAAATTAAAAAAAAGGAAGGTAATGACCTAAAGACAGCAATTAAAGATGCAAAAACTGCAATTGAAGCTGCACAAAAGAAAATTGATGGCGGGTCTGCAGGAGGGGCTATAGCAAATTTAAAACTGGCAGAAACTGCTCTAAAAAATGTTAAGGATAATTCTGATAATGCAATTACTCCTCCTACAGAATTAGGAGATGCAACAACTGCTGCAACAGATGCAAAAACTGCATTTGGTGATGGTAGTTCAGGACTTGCTAAAAATATAGACACAGCAGAAACAGATTATGCAGATTATTTAACAGCAGAGACAAAAGCTGCTAATACTAAAGTAGGGACATCACCTATCGCTACAGCTGCAAAAGCTGCTTGTCCTAAAATTACAGATACAAAAACAGCTGATGAAGGTAAAGTTAAAGAATGTTTTGCAGATGGATTTAAAAACTATGACTTTATCAATGCGCTTTTGAAAAACATTCCAAATACAGGAAAAGATGTTTTAACTCAAGATGCGGGTAGTTTTAATGGTTATGCTGATAAGTTAACTGATTCTACAAATACAGATAAATTAGCATCTGCTAATTTTTACTATAAATTAGTTGGTACTGTTTGTGGTTTTGCACCTTTTGATGGTGAAAAAAATAAGTTACCTGAAGGTACAATAAAATGTTATGAACAAGCTAACAAAGTTGCAGTTGCAATCTTAAGTGACTCTAATTGTGGTAGTGATAAGTTAAATAGTGGTGCTGTTACAGATGGTTGTTATAATGCACTTGCTGGTAAAATTGGAGATCTATATAATAATGGTGATACAGATGGTATGTTCATAGATATTAGCCATGCATATCCAGATGATGTTGTTACAGTTTAATTTTAATAAAAAAATAGAGGA